GTGTAGCCTGTGTCTTTAGAGGATGCATGCAAATCAATACAAATCTACATATTTCCATATGCGGATAGAATTGCATTTTTGTTTGCTCATGAACTTTACTATTCCTGTATTATGGAATTGTTGTCTCAGAATTATTTAGTTTGGTTTGGTGTTCTCCCACAAGAGTGTGTGAAGTTTAGGATAAGGAGGCAGAATTGAAATCTGAAGTTGATAGAAGCATAGTCAAGAAATGCCTGTATTTTGAATTAGTTTAAATCTCCAGGGCAAAATGAATTTCATTCTACAGTATGAAAGAAATTTGCTGTTGGTCTGGTTAAACATTTCTGTATTGTAGAGAAAATCAATTAATTGGTGGAGAGTTAGAGGTGGGAAAAGTTGTCCCTGTCTTCAAACAGGGGAGCATGTGATATTGATACTTGGGAAGATTCTAGAGGATATCATGAAGTGGTCACTCTGTGAGAACCTTGAAAACAATGTGGTGGGATAGTTAATATCTTAGAAGAAATAAAATTGTGTCCAGAAATGTATCAGTTTTTACAATAAAAAGGTACAGGTAGTCCTTGACTTACAACCACAATTGGGACCAGAATTTCCATTGCTAAGCAATGCAGTCGTAAAGCGAGACGTCATTAGACTGCATTGCTTAGCAATGGCAATCCCAACAGTTCCAGTTGCCATCATTAACCATGAATCACAAGTAATTAAGCGAGTACCCATCCCAATCCAAGCCATTCCAGGCTTGGTCCCTCCCAGCTCCGAGCCTTGGTAAGGTAAGGGACTGCCTCCAACTCCCCCCACTTGCCTATCTCCCCTTCCATCCCCTTCCTTTTAGCCACCCTGCACCCTGCCTTGCAGGGCGGCAAGCAGCCCTGGAACTGCGCAACTCTAGGGCTGCTTGCCATACCCTGGGAAGCTGCAGCTGCCCCAGCCCAGTCCAAGCCATAGATGCCCTCGCCACCCTGCACTCTGAGACCCCTGCCATCCTGCACTCTGCTGCTCTAGCTGACCTTTGCCATCTTCTTGTTCCCACTGCTGTTGAGGTGTGCCCGGCCTGGCTGCTGGGTCG